TATTGTGTTATTTAAAAAATACTAAATTTAATTTAAAAATCCAGGCAAATTTGCCTGGAAAACAGTTTAAGGGATAACAACTTACATAAAATTGTGTCGGTAATATAAATATTGTGCATACTACTTACATGAAACTTTTAGCTGATACTGCTTTTAACCATTTTCAATGGCGCCTTGTCTTTAGTTTGGTGAAACAGCCCCTGTAAAAGTCATGTTCATACATCTAGGGCTCTGCATGCCCGGAATGTGCCGGCAATTTTTTAGGCACGACATTGGCACTTATATACAGCACAGTGCCAATATGCCCAGCACATAAACTTATTACAGCTACTACTATAATAGGCACTTCGTTCCAGGCAATTTTTAGGCACTGGCATCGGCACTGAGCCCTACATACATCGCTCAGTCAAATTACAAGATACTACCGGGCGTGGCATCTATTGAAATTTCACCGTTTTGAAATTCCAATATCCAACAATTCTAAGTGACACATCCATAACTTCATTTGCTTGGATCATTTTACAGCTTAAAGGGATAATATATCGATCAATTGATATCATTCTTTTGATCACGATATCAACTGTTTTGTTGTTTCAAAGATTTGAAAGGTTTTAGGTTATGAATGCCCTTTTTTTTCTCTTAAACAACAATATAATTTATATTATTTCATATTTGTTTACTTAATTTGACAAGCAACTTTTACACAATTTTAATTCAGACGTTTTTAATAAAAAAAATCACCCTTCGGGATTTTTTAAGTTTAATCAATTTATCATTTTAATAAATCAGAGAATTTGAAAGATTTTCATTAGATTAATTCTATAAGTTTTTTAATAATACGATCTACATTATACAATGTAAATTGATAAAACATGAGTTGAAAAGAATGTATTTTATTCTAGTCAATGGATTATTCTTTAATCTATTATAAAAAACACTAGATTCAGACAATAAACCCCTGGCAAATTAACCTACTTTTTTTTTAAAAACCCCAAGTTAGAAAAGAATCATTAATGCCAATGTTAATTTTTCCGTAATTGAGAGGAAGTAAAAGGGATTAAGAAAATAAAAACCAAATTCCGAGAATTCATTAATTCTAATGCAATAAACATATAGAATAAAAATAAATACAATTGATGCAATACTTAAACCATCAAAGATCTATTTATAAGGAGAAGCATTAATATCAAAATAAAGTATATAAGCTAAACTAGAAGCGGTCAATAATAAAACAAAACCCTATAATAATTTCTGTAAAAGGTCTTTTATGTAATCCACAAATATATCCACGTTCTAAATCATGTTTACTTAAAATAGTTATCTGAGATTCACCAGTTGAAATTTAATATCTTGGAGTTAAAGAATTGATCAACTTATTAAGTAGCATCAGGTTTTTCACGATATATTCATTCTCTTTATGATTATTTGTCATAGGAAATAGATCAAGGTTTGATGCAAATATTCAACGACCAGAAATAATACCACGCCTACCAACAGCTCCTCTCAATTCAGTGTTAAATGCTGTTTCCATGTATTGTCTTGATTGTATATACCTTTGTGAATACTATTATTATAATGCTCAGATAAGCATTTGCAATTTGGCAAAAATTTTTTTTTGAGCTTTAGACATTCTGATTGATTCTTAAAAAAAGAAATTATAGTAAACAATAATTAATAATTTAGTAAATAATTTAATCAAAAAACACAAAAGATATATCTAAGCAATTAAGGAAATTATAATGTAAACATTTAAACACGAACCTGAAACCAACAAAATTTCAAGGTACTGATTCATCAATTTGTTATGTAATATCAAGACTTAATTGGCCAGATGGTATTAAACTCGGAGTATCAATTAAAAGATAATCTATTACATTTATTTTAATTGGTACAGTTGGACTTCACCTGGTTAATTAATAAAAAAAGTTTATAAATGACATTGAATGAAATCAGATAAAACATACTAAAAATATTTAAAAAGATGCTAAGATACCGTAAGTGGACTACCATCATGTCTGTCAAGCATCATATTATCCGCAATACTTTTTCCAACACCTATTGGAAAAGATAAAATTTTATATATTAGACTTTAAAGAAAATTTTCAAAAGCATTAATAATGAATATTAAACATTTAATAACTTATTTGGGAGACATACCACTTCTCCTATTATAAGAATTGCGGGAAATATTTGCTGCTTATTGAATGGTTCATTTTCATTAGATTCGTCAGAGGTGGTTGAAGACATTTTTATGATAGAGTAGGAAATATAAAAAGTATTATACGAAATTATAATGATATAATCCTATTAATTTTATGATTACAATTTTTGTACAGCATCGATATGAAAGTAATTTGACATTCTTTTAAAGTTTTAATTCTCAAATTTACTAATTTCTCATTTCTGCTCTACTTCGAATATATTTTCAGGTTTAAGAATCTAAATATTATTATTATATATATGAATTAAAATTATCAAATTAAACAAGAAAAAAGAGCACATTCTTTGCTCTTAAAAATAGAAATATCTTATCTAAATATTCATTGACCTCTTCATCTAATCCTGCTCAAAAATGAATTTCATTTTTTTTGCAATAAGTTGTTTAATCGATTAAGATCCAAAATATACTCCTTAAAACTTTTTGTTGAATAATTAACATGAAGATCAAAAGTATCTATCATTTTCCGTCTTTTTATTCAAACTACTCCGTAAATTGAAGATATCGGTGCTTTGCAAAGAATGAAAACAATCATGGAAGAATAGTTATTAAAATAAATTTCACTTTTTTACGACACCTTACAGGATAATTATTACCTTTACTAATCGCTTTCAAGGAGTTTATCCATCCACTTCTGGTGTTCTAAAAATAAAGAAAATATGGTAAGAATAATGCATATAACCCATGATTTCTATTAATTTAGTTATATAATTTTCTTAGAAATTGGATAATAAACTACTGCACAAAGTTTTTTGAGCTCAAATTAAACTGTTGCACAGTGCTCTTTGAATTTTTAGACGAATCGATCTAGTTGACCACTAAACTACTATGCAGCGTTATGAAACTGCTGCATAACGTTCCTCAGTCTAACGGACGAAGAGTCAAATGATAACAAATAATAATCATCATTGAATAATTATTTAGTTAAATCTCTAAGTTCTTACCTAACGAACGTAGTATTTTGTACGAATATCCATATCGATATCGATATTAATAAAGATAGATCTGATACTGTACAGTACGATCACATGAATGTGTAACATGAAATGATTTTTTTTCAATATAAGATCAACCAGTAACAATTGATTCAGAAACTGGTAAAGGATCCAATACATTGGTCGCGTCTCGTCTTACATCCACATGGTTACGCGAATCAACCTGATTATTTGGCAGTATTTCTTACAGCTTTTCGGTCAGAATACGAAAAAAAAATCAAGTAAAATCCAGAACAAATCAACGATTTTGGTTCGGGTTGATAATTCTGATGTTAAATCCAAGAAACTAACACATCTTGCTATAAGAAGTTTTAAGAAATTGGATTTCGTTTTTGAAAGTCGGGACGATATTCATACTTTAGTTACTAGAAAGTTTGTATCTTTTACCGAAAGATAACAATGTTACGTTAGTTATACGAGTGCATATCATTAATGAAGATCCATTTACGAAAGATCCATTAAATGAAGGTGCAAAACTAAATGAAATAAGGACCAAACCATTTTTATCTTCTTTTGACAAATATTTTATGGATGAAAGTTACTGTGATGTAGAATTTAAATTTGACTGTGGTCCTAGAATTGAGTCGAATCGACTCGTTCTTGCAAGTCGTTCAGAATATTTTGATTAATTAAATGGAGCGTCGCTGGAACAACGCCAATTCATATTACAGGCATGAAGTTCCAGGTCTTTAAGGCAATTTTATACTATCTTTATGCAGATAAACTAGAAAACGACTTATCATTAGACACATTACAAAATTTTTATTTTGATTCTGAGGCAAGACATTTAGATGATTTAAAAGACATGGTCATAATCCGAATTGGTGAAATGGCTAACATACATACTTGGGATCAGATCTTAAGATTTTCTTTGAAGATCAATGAAGATAAATTAAAAAAGAATGTTATGTTATTCCTTCAATACAATTGGGATGAAGTAAAACAGACAAAACAAATGAAGCGAATGTTAAAGGAGGGAAATATTGATTGGATTAGTGAGATTGAAAATTTGATTACAACAAAAATCCTTGGTGATTAAATTTTACGAGATTATCTTTTTCTTAGTAATGTTTGGACATTTATCATTAGATATATATTTGAATTATGATGGATTTCGAACATTCTTGACAGCCGAAAAATGTAGTGAAACGATTTAGAAATACTTCTTGAGAGTGATTAGTCAAGATGATAATTATCCTGCAAGATGTTATAAAAAGTGAACCATATTTTAAATAACTATTCTTCTGTAATCGTTGTCATTCCTTCAAGCAAGGCATTGCTATTTTCAATTTGTGGAATAGTTTGCATAAAAAGGTGGAAAACAATAGTACTTTTTAATTTTTATAAAAGTGGATGTTAATTATTCATATTGTTAATTTTTTTTCTAAAAAAAGAATATATTTTGGATATTAATCAATTAAGCAATTTATTACAAAACAATAAAATTCATTTTTGAGCAAATTGTTTTTACCTGCAAATGTAAAATTAGATAAAGAGATTAATAGATATTTAGATAATATATTTTCTATTTTTAAGAGTAAAGATATGACATGAGTATGCTTCTTTTTCTTAGTTAATTTAATAATTTTAATTTATATATATAAGTAATATTGCTACTTCTGATACATTATATATTACAAAATAATTTAAAAATTTATATAATACGTAGTATCAAATTTAATAAATATTGTTTTAAAATATACTCTTAGAATTGTATATACTATAATATTAGATTATAAAAATAAATTAATTATATATTAATTATATATTTTTCCTTATCAATTTGCAAATTTTATAAATAATATTTAAAATATTTAATTATTAAGTAATAATTTTTTTATTATTTAAATTATATTTTATATATTAAGTAAAATTATTTTGGATATTATTTTATATATAATATAAAAATAGTTTAAAGTTTAAAAAAAATTTATTAGTTAAAATTATAAATAAAATTTTATTTCTTAAACCGTTTTTCAGATAAATTTGTTTGAATTATTTATTAAATTGAATTTAGTATTTTTAAATAACACCAAACTTTATTAATAATATGAAGTACAGTTTACTTATAAAATATTTTATTAAAATGTATTTTACAAACTTTATTAAAAAATTTTTTTAAAATTAATAAAAAACTTTTGAATAATAAAAATTTAAAGATTTTGCTTAAAAAATTTATTATAAAAGATTTCTTTAAACTTTTCAAGCTTTTATATGTTCTTAAAGTTAAAAAAATTTTTCTTTGTAATATAAGTAAAAAAGTTGTGTTAGTAAAAGTTGTTATTCTTTATATAAGTTATAATATTATATTAAAAATTATAAGTTTAAAATTAGTATTTAAAGAGTTCATCAAGAATTAGTAAATAATTTTTTTGATTAAAAATTTTTTAAATTTGTTTATTTATACTAATAAGTAATAAACTTTTTTTTATAATATAAATTAAATATTACTATATTTATCATTTTTATTTTAAATATTATTAAAAAAATTTTATTTAAATATTTTAAATTTTTTTTTTGCTTTCACTAAAGCCATAGTTATTAGTAGCTATTGCCTTTATTGTATTTTAATTATGATTACATAACTTGTACAAGGTAAGTATACAACTAGTCATACATACAACTTTTGGTTGTCTAATTTAAGTAGTCCGTCTGCACAGCAGGTTCTACACTAGCTGTCATATCTGCAATTTACTAGGAAATTACTTATTTTAAACACTCTGATCCCTATACTTACACTGACAAATAGCACACAAGTTCCTATACATCTAAGTGCCATCTAACCTAACCATGACCTTCCTGTCTATACATCCATCAAGTCATTACATATTTCAGAGTATGTCACCTGACTGTAGGGCTCCAGAAAGCCTTCCTGCTAACTAACTACCCATGTTTAGTATTTTGTTAACAGGGCTTGCCCTTGCAGAATTCATCCAGACCCCAGCACTGACTTCATAACATATTTCTAGTACTTTAGTATACTCCTGTTTCTGACCTCAGACTTCTAATCCAAATAGCCTAGTAGGACTATAACCTGTTCTTGGTACTTCAGAGTCTGCCTCCAAGGTTCTTTTCCTTCAGTTTGAGACTTCTGGTGGCCTGGTTAGTGGTATCCCTCACCTGAGGTTCTTGCCTGCTCGATTTCTTTCACATTGGTATTTATTTCCTAGGTCTAGCCTTTACAGTAGTACTGTTGAAGATCCATATTACCTCTTTACTCAGGTCTTTCCAAGTGGGCTTCTGGTTATTCCAGTTCATGGATTTACATGGCCACAGATGCCTCATGACCTGCCAGTTATCTGATACAACTGTGTTACAGATACTAATCCCAACTGATCGATAGATAGCTGTTACTGTAATACTAGTTTCAAGGACTTATCTTGTGTTTGCACTGCCTAATGCCGGTTTGCATTTCTCTGTATAACTTTAGCATTGCACAGATGCCTGTATACACCAATGTAATATAGGTGGTTTTCTAAATTTTCACTGTCAATAGGTTTTGAACACCCAACCTACCACTTGGGGGGTTGACAACTTATTCACTTTACTAAGTCACCACATCTCATAATATTTTAAATTTTAAAAAATATAGATTATAAAAATATGTTTGTTAATTTTTCAGACAAATTTGTCTAAAAATAGTTTACAATTTAAAGAATAAATATAAGAAATATAATAATTTTTATATAAAATATATTTATATAATAAATTTATAATTTTTTTTTAATATTAATATTGAGACTATGCTTCTATCTTTATTGAATATTTAATTAAAATTTTATATAAAATATCATTTTGCTTTTAAAATATTATCACTTAATTTGTAGACTTTTTTAAGCAAATTTGTCTAAAAAATTATTAAAAATACATTTATTATTTATTTTTTTTAAATTTTAAAATATTTAAATAAAATTTTATTTGATAATATTTGAAAATAAAGATTATATTATAGCAGTAT